TAAGGGACCAATATGACTTTTTCTGCGTGTCCAAATGATTGAGTACGAATAATGTCTTATTTTTCGCTCCTCATTGCCGGAATACAAGTGACCAGCGAAAAATAGACATTATACACGATCTATTGTCAATGAATTCTTTTTTTAACGATATATATACACGTTTGCTTTCGTCGTGGTTACAGATGTCTACCGAAAAGCGTACTAGTGCTCTGGGGCTGGAACACAACCGGCTATCCAGTATAGCTTCATTCATGGCTCTTGCTAACTCACCTGGGGTGCCCATATGGTTGAGACAGAAGATGTTCAAATACACCCTCGTAGATTATCGCAAACTGCATCAGAGAACCACCTGTGCATACAACTTGCATATGTGCAAAATGACGTAAAGAACCATTGCGAAAACAAAAACAAATTACTCTTTGGGGATTTGCCATCAAAAAGATCAAACAAATGACCAGTGGGAGTGGTTCAATATGCAAATGATCTTGCCTCGGGACGACGACGACTCTACACGTTTCGGAATCCCATGTGGTTAGAACAGAAATGTGCCTCGGTGGAACAAACGGAGATGCAATTTGTTCTCTAACTATTTCCACTGAATGAATTATAATTTTGGGATATTATCTTATCTACACACTTTGAGTATTCTGTGCACCCCCTCCAACCACTGTCCGATAAACTGATTAGATTTTCAAATAGGCTAGAACGTTGACGAATAATTTGTCAATACGATGTCACAACTGGATCTTTACAATGTTCAAACATGATAGTCATGCACAGAAATAACACGACATGTAAATACGCAGTATTTGTAGCATCCAAATAAGGACTTGAATTTGGATTCATCTCTGACACTCAAGTCGGTGGTTGAGGGGCGTGNGGGAGGAGTTGTTCAAGAGACGGGACGGAGAACGTACGATAGAAAACAACAGGATTCCAAATCATCGGGACAATGAAATCATTGACATGTGTTGAACGATCGGGGCCACCGCTCCGGTATCCGGGTTCTGAATGGGCAAAGTGACACTGTAACAGTTTGAGAGTACTGGGGCTTGGGCACCGAAATTGGGAACACTATTCACCACACGCACATCGTCGTAGGTGTCTTTGAAAAAAACCGACCGTATATGTGTGCCGGGAAGTGATGCGGAATTCGTTGTTGTGACGGGATGACGATTTGTTTCACGCAAACCTCGATGCCGAAATTCTCGGTAGATTTGTGTGAAACGCTTTCGCATCAGACGACACGGAGCGCACAGAGGACGCAGTAGTCGATACACCTCATGACGATAATTCTTATTCACCCAGGCGTAAATAAATGGATTGTAACAGGTAGACGAATCACGTGTGAAACTGACCGCAGTCCAGAGTCGAACAGACCAGCTGGTTTGCCAAAATTCGCGGTGTAAAGAACCATGCAGATAGACAATATGACGTGGAAGTTGAGACAATCCGTAGAGAATAGCCACGGTGATCAACATTTTCACCATCTGCAAATGTGAGCATAAAACACACAAGAGGAGGGGTAGTTGAATGACCGGGAATAATGCATTTAAACACGAAAATTGTGATTATACCTCGGCATTGAATGTTTGCTGTTCTACGACAATGAAAACCGGTACTACGGTTCATGCGGTGCGACATGCTACTTCGGTAGTTCGTAAACTCAATTAGGATTCTGTAATGCTCCACTGCTTTCGGGGATCATGTTTTCACATCACGCTTCAACTGTCATGCCGTTTGTGTTGTTTTGATTGGCAAGGGGGTGAAAAACAGATTTATTCAAAGTCAGGGCGCACTTTTTGATTGTTGTTGTTTTGTCTCCGCCCTCGGCAAAGTGGACTGGCACGACTGAGAAATGCAAATTAGCTCATTGTTTCGAAATTTTCATTCCTCTTTCAACCTGACCTGCTCTCCCCAGTCTCTAGTCCGAACAATGCTCGTCACAGATTACGACAGCTGCGCACCAAACTGGAGTGTACAGAGAGAACTGTGTACCATGCGTATTTGTTCTGAGCACGATTGAGACAGAGACTAATGTCTAATACAACAGAAAGCAAGCAATAATCCGACTAGATATTGGATTATCTTACAAAAGAAATCGTGTAAAAACAGATCACTGAAAACATTGTTAATATAATTTACCACTGGTCACGGTTCACCTAGATGAGCAGGAAAAAACTAAATCGTGCTCCGGCATCGCAGTTGTTTGCTTTCAAATCGATCAATAAGATTGGTAGAGAAATATAACATGAATTTTTGACATCATCAACTGAACCGGCGACTAGGTGTAAAATCAAAATGTAACTAACATGTCAGAAAGATAAAACGAATATTCCCATGGATGCAGGGGGGCTCATCGTAAACAAACATACTCATATTGGTCAGCCAAAATTCACTTGAATAAAACTATTTATAAATTATTCAGGATTTACCCGTTTTTTGCCTAATGGGATGACTTCCAGTTATTATCTATACTCGTAAAGACTTAGATGAAACGAATAGCATGTCCTCTCTTTTACTCGGCTTATACTACTAGGGCTATAATTTCACAAGGCGGTGCTGGTTGAGGATAATCGTTTGAATAGTATTACAGCTGGAAGGTCAGTAATTTGTCATGCAAAACACAAAAGTCTAATCAGAAACGTGCCATCGAAATTGTTTCCGACACATAAAGTAATGTATAGAGCAATAAGTAGTTATTGTGCTCAACATACCACATGACCCTTGATAGTCTTGTTATATTTTTGATCGTCGAAAGTCACGTACTCTTCACAAGTGGGTAGTATTTCATGACACTGGAGGTGTTGAACATGTGTACATACAGAATTGGGAAAGGGGACTTCCATGACACCCACATCGTTGACTCACATTTCCTGTTCGAGCCGTTATTTCGTAACATGAACCCCAGGACCTTGGCAATTGGCGAGGTGATGCAAATCGAGTTACTTGACCCAATTACATACGCACAAAAGTTTCTTACACAATCAGTCAAACTTCCATGGAGTTAATTTCGCACCCCACCCAACCCAAGCTATCCTGACTATTGTCCGTTGAACTACTGCAGTTTTACGTTGTAGGGACTGTAGAGATTAAAAGAAATGTTAACATCTCGCAGTATTTGTCTTCTCTCTGTCCTAACGAATGGGATAAAAGGGGGACCCACGATGCACTATAAACACAAAAGCACTATGATTACAAATCAAAAGACGAGCAAATCAGTAATTGCTAAGCAGATGTTGGATTTCGTTTGCCTGCGGCACCCGGAGATCATCACTGATGCGCTATCCGGGGCGAGGAGTTTAAGTAGTGTAATCTATCTCCTGTTGAACAACGTGATCGATTTAATTCATCGATTGGCTTCATAGCCTGCTGTTTTCCGCTTTCAGTCAACACGTACACACAGTGGGACATATGTCACCGGCAAATCGAGGATTTGTTCTACTGAATGTGCAATGTCCTTAGGGGTGAGTTATAACTACTATACCGTTCATCAAATCCAATTATTATCTTGGCTATGGGCGCTACGAAAATGTTTTCTTTGTAATGAAATATAGTTAACAACAATTATTTCCTCCACATAAATTTGAACAAAGAAAAGAACAAGGCAAGCGAGCACGAGTTTTATTCCGGAATTATGTGGCTTTATTTCAGCTGGTGCTTACTGCATCATCAGTTACTCGGTATCTGGTGCAAACTGGCCACCAAAGTGAGCGCGGAATTTATTTTCGAGTTGTTAGCCCAATTCCGAATGAATGGTTGCTGAGATTTTCAGAGGCCATTGCAATCAAGCGCCGAAATTCTCTTATTTGTCAACAAACGGAGGCCTACATCTGTCTGGCATTGCGTTGGTAACCACGTTAGCGGAAGAGTCAATTGATACCACGTTAGACTGATAACACCTGTGATATATAAACTGTTTTTTATTCTGCTGTAAGCATCAGCTGAGATGCAGCGAAATCGAGTTTGCCCTACTACTCAGGTCAGTGCTCTTTTATAACGCCCCGCACTGTTCCGGATATATTGATTTCCGGCTTACGATAAGTGCAATACTTGTGCTTTGTCGAGGTATACTAGCAAGGCATTGAGATCAGCGCGGGTTCTCACCAATAAATAGGACAAAAACTATAACCAGATTTATCGATGATCAAGATAAATTCGACAGTTAGTACAGTTTATGGTAGTTTCGGGAATGAACAAGCCTATCATGCGGATATGTGAACGAGAGACATGGGTAAAGAAAATAATGCCGGGTAAGGCCAACGATTCACGAAAAACGGAAAGCGCTGCCAATCCATTTTGTTTTATTCGAGC